GCCCACTTCCCAAGCCTTTCACAGTCCACTTGCAGCTTCGGGCTGTACCACGGGGGGTTCGACACCAGCTCCTGTGGGCAGAGACGCCCCAGAAGGAGCAGTGGACCATCGGAAGCTTTACCTGACTGACTGGCTTCACAAGAATGAGAGGGATCCAGGCTGACCCAGGTTTTGGATCCAATCTGAGTAGACCCCTCATAAGACCGATGCGCATCACATAGGAATAGGAACAGCTGTTTTGGTTCTTGCGACATGGCTCGCCCCGGCGTTTCTCGGTGTGTGTGTGTGTGCCCCTTGTAGTCACAGGGATCCTTTCGGATTGGATTTGTTTTGTTTTCTTTTAGCAGAGCAGGGGTCAGTAGCCCACTCATGAGTCTACTGCCAACGAAGCTGCTCATGAGTTGGGAGGATATCGGAGTTGATCACTCCGACGTACCTGCTTGGTTGTGGCGTTGACCAGCTTTCACTCCAATCTTCTGGTAAAGGGCTAGTGAGTTCTGCAGACGTGCACGCACGCCGTCATCTTGTCGCTCCGAACTCGTCGAGTTGGTACTTGCGCTTTGGGCCTCACTTCCTTTTGAAGATCCCCAGGTTCCTTAGGGCTTTCCTGGACCTTTCAGGATTTGGGTTTCTTAGGCTGGCGTGTGGCATGTGGCATTCAGTTCCGTACACCAAATCATGAGTGTGTATTTTTCCCACCTCCGCTTGCGGCTCAGATGATGAGAGCAGGATCGGGAGTTATAAACTTGCCACATGCCCAAATGAGCCGATGTCCCAAGCAGTGGGATACAATACAGTCCCTGTGTGGCTGCATGGACTACTTAGAGAAAGGATGTCTCTCCATGCTTTGCCAGCTTCACAATCCTGCTCAAGGTTTCTTTGGAAACACCTCCTTTAGCTCGGGCTAGCAAAAGGGTGACGAACACCACTGTCGCAAGCCACCGTCGGCACTGAACAAAACAAGCCGGCCTCTTAAAGATTCCATTGGAAACGCCTGGGGCCATGGACTTCAGCAACACCTCCAATGAAAGCTTCACACTTTTTGGCACCTTCGACGCCTCGAGTTCTGCCGAAGATGCACAAAGAGAGGAAGACGCGCCTCGGTCGTCAAAATAGGCGCGCGGCGCACTTCGGCGCATGGGACATTCCCGCGGGACTGGAATACTTTGCTAGACATATGCTGCAAATAGATCTTCAGTCCGGCACTTTTACTTTTTTTGGCGCCTGACACCTGACTTCCAACTCCAGTTTTTTTCAGGATTTAGTCCGGGAGTTGTTGTTCGTCTGAAAGTTATTTCCCCCACGGAAAATGACTCATCCATGGCAACTCTTCTATTCCTATATGAAGTGTTTAGGCTAGATCCTTACTGATTGAAGGGCGGGGCACCCCAAGCACCTCACGCATCCTCGTAATAGCGCACATTTCAGTTTCCTCCCCCAGCATCATCCCTGCGTGGCAGTCGCACTTGAACGTCGCTTCACCCTGCAGGTTTCTGTCTTCGACACCTCAAAGCAAAATATATGGTTTTTCAGGGTCCACCGATAAGTAAGGAGTTACGACAGGGTTTATGTCCAATTGGATGCTGAAGGATGCTGAAGGACCTTCCCACTCTTTTGGCGGAAATCAGTACCATCCGTATTTTCCTTCCCTCAGCTCTAAGTAACCTCAGAAAATGGGACATGTGACACGACCCTGGTTAAGAAATGCAGGTACGACTGTACCATTTTCTGCGCCCATAGATTTGAGGGAGCTGCCGACTGGATGATTTCAGGGAGCGCCCCACTGAGCCGAGGACGACTTTCACCTCACCCAGCGAGTCGCGGAGGCGGTGGCGCGGATGCAGCTCGTCCGTCCGGAGGCGGCGAGTGGGGAAGAAGGAGACGTCCGTCCGTCAAGTGGTGTGACCACATGAAGCACTCCAAACAGGGTCCACGTGAGGCGAAGATATTTTTTCTGCGGTTCTTTTCTGCATGAGTCAGAGGCGAAGAGATTAATATATATATATATATTATCATTTATTACACATATATGGATATATAGTAGATGTTTTGGCCTGGGGTCTTCTTCTTGACGTAGATTGCACCAAGATGCACAATCTCTGACACATCAGGGTTTCGTCCAACATGTGCCAATTGAATTACTGAACCTTCAATCGTAGCACTTTTTTTTCTGGCGAGCCAAGGAATTAGACATGTTTGGAGTTTCGTAGCGTTTTTTGATGAAACGAGCACTTTTTAATGCTTTTGATGAAACGCGCATGTTTTTCAAAATGTTGAACACTGAAGTCTTCTTGGGCCAAAAAGGTGGAAACCCGCAAAATGTGCGCAAAATGCTGCAAAACGTGCGTCAATTTAAAGAATGGCGAACCACCCCAACATGGGTTGGATATATGAGACGGATCCATGTACACTTTTTGAGTGTTTGTAGCGTTTGTTTTGCTTGAACGAGCACTTTTGCAAAACGAGCGCTTTTTTTTTGTAGCGAATGAAGCTTCAGGTTAATTTGACACGTTGCTGCCAACAGGAGTAAACCGTAACAAGCATGTTACATGTTGCACCACACTGCGTAATGCATGCATAAAGTAGCCTGCCAAGCATCAGGTAGAACCAGGTGGAACCAACCTGTTGCAGCTGTACAAGTCTCCCTCGATCAGACAATCATAGAAGCTGAGCGTGAAAATGGCCTTCCAGAGGTTTGCGCTCCATGATTGTTGGAGGGTCGTTTCATATGACAGGACCCCGGCGAGAAAGGGAATATTTTACCGATTGAATCCTCGGACCACGTCGACTGACTATTTCACTGATTCCTCTCACAAAAAAACATGTTTCCTTGCGCACCAAGTGGGCCGCCAACACCCTTCCTTTGACCTTGCGGTCGACTTGGTTCCACTATAGGACTAACTGACTTGGTGTGATCCTTTTTGGTGGACTTGGGACCATTTTCCGATCCGAGAATCAGGAGATGTTTTCCTCAACACTCTACTGATGCTTATAGATACATGCCCAATCAGATAAATGATGGGGGTAGTACCGCAATTGCTGCAAGTGTTTTCGCGTTGGACACACCAAGAGCTGGTTCTACAAGACTTGTAAAACTTGTATTTTCTAGGCCAGACTGTGGGGGTGCTGCAAAAGGCTCAGCATTCCCACGCTTCGAGAGCTAACTTTGATGTATTGATGGCAGTCATCTCCAATGCTATCAATGTGGGACTGCTATTTATGGCAGTCACCCAACGCCAGCTGAAATGGATACGCTTCCGCAATCCACGTCCCAAAGAAAGCCTCAACGTCCCACATTGGCCCGGAAACTGCATCTGTGTTTATCGTACTCAACTCCTTTTCTCATGGCAACAGCAACAAATAGATACAAATAGAACTTGTTCCAGTGTGTTTGATTTGGAGTTGCGCATACGATTACAAAGAAACTACACAAATACAAAAAACATCAAAAACAAACACATACATGAAAGGCAATGGAGCGCGGACAACAGCGCAATGATGTTGCTGTAATATGCATGACAGTGCAGTAAATAGCACTGGAGATTCGATTGAGGATGTGTTGAGAATGAACACATTTACTATACATAATGTATTTTTGATGATGGCACTGTAACGTATAAGTGAGCATACACCCAACCTTCAAGCAAAGAACACATTTGCTGGCTTTAGAGTGAACTCCTACGAACTAACCCCGCGGTGGAAAGTGTTGCGCAAAGACTGCATTCCTTTGCCGGTGAATTGTCCGGTTTACATGGGCTCGACATCGAAACTGGTGGAGTGCACAACATCATTTTCTTAACCAAGGACTTGAAAGATTGATCCGGCTGTGGGTCATGGCGCCCGGAGCCCACACTCACCAGGTAGGTTGACCGAAACCAGGTAATGTCAAGTCCTGATTAATAAACCCTCCCCCCACATGGTAGGTCAACAATGCCAAGAAGATATGAGATACCAGTCATGAGGTCCACCTCCCCTGAATAATGTGTTATGAGACCATAGGACCATGAAGGATGATACCAGGCTTTGAGGGGATGAGCTGATGAGCATGAGGCCAGTGTCCATATAGGAAGCAATGAGTTCATAGGAACCAAGGCATGAGAGGAATTGGCTGGTAACATTTGCGCTGGTTGTAGTAGTAGGTGGTAGGTAGTAGGTAGTAGGTAGTAGGTAGTAGGTAGTAGGTAGTAGG